GCACTGTCGGGGCTGCTTAATCCAATAAGCATGGTAGGCACTGTGCCTAGGGTGTACCAAAAATGAAGAGGCCTGCACAATTTCCTCATGGTGCCCCAAAACACTCACATCCGCATCAGTGCCCAGGATTACACGAGATGATGAAAAAATTACCACCTCTCACTGTATTTTGGGCTAGTTAGGCTGAGTACTCATCTGCGTAAAATGGTGCCTTGGGTAGAGCAGGGCCTACAGAGTACTTGCCTTGGGCTTACAGAACACAGGTGTCCTGGGCCGCAAGAACATAGGTGCCAATCCCCCCCAGAACACTCAATCCGGCCCTGGTCACAGAGATTTGTGGGACAAGGGTCAGAGGGTCATCCAAGTCTTGACCTAACTGAAACGCTTGACACCTTTGCCTTGTGTTTTTCCAAAATCATTTGGTATGCCAAATGCACATCTACTGTAGCCCATGGCATCGCAGACGGCAGAGGATTATGTTGACTATTCTTAAAATGTCCCTGGCTGCTGTTGGCTAGACCCTGTATCAGTGCCACGCCTACTCTAGCCCATGTGGACCAACTGTTCCTTTGCTCTATCAATAACTGCATGTTTGCAATATACTTTTCTTGACCGGCTGCTCTGAATATGTTCACCTCGCTAAACGTCCAATAACTCTTGCATAGTGAGCATTCTGATTTTGAAATTTGTGATCTTCAGCTATTTTGAATGCTTTTGTGATTTTAAAAAAGTTACATATTTCTGTTGGGGAGATTTTTCATCCGTATAAGTTTTACTTTTTCTTAAAATATGTCTCGAAATTTTTGAGTTTTGAGCAGACTTTTTAAAACTAAAATAGTATGTATGGACCAATGGTGATTAGATTTTTTTATCTTTTATGGTATCAGATGCCAGATGGCTTATCTTATTCGGAGGCTTCCTTTTAATGTTAAGTTTTACTCTTGGAACCCAAGCTTGAACTATTGGAACTAATGGTTCCGTAGCCTTCTTACAAGTAATAACTAATGCAAACAGTTTGTGTCCAGAGTGCACTGGGTTGAGAAAACTAGTAAAGCACAGTGACGCAATGGGATCTCATCTGACTCACCAGGGCCTCGAACCAAGACTATCTATTCACCAGAGCTTATGATGGATGCGCTTCGTCCATGCAATTGATCATACACGCAAGTGCTGCCAAAAACCCTGCAATGCCGTTGGGCGAATTTGCCTTGGTAACGGTAGCATTTGACATTTTGCATTGTTCTGTGTTGGTTGCGTAGTTGCATGTACCTGGGATGGACAAAATGATGCCTAGTTACGAACATATTTTATATATATTGGTTACTTTTACCTGTGCAGCTTCTTCAAATTATCAGTACAAGGTGTGCTGCGTTATAACATCGAGGATGTCTCTTGTATTTTCATGTTTCCATGGGAATTGCCATTCGGTAGAGGGGGGGTAGACTAGGGTAATATTTGAGAATGGCCTTACGGGGTAAAGACAGTGACATATCTGCTGCAGAAAAATCATTCAGGTTAAACTGGAACCATCGCCTAGAGCGCGTTTCATTACTTAAGAATCTCTTGAGGGAAATAATTATTCTGTACATTGTTTCCAAAGAGGTCATTTTTTGTATGGCCCCAGGCCAGTGAAAACATTTCTCACATATCAGAAGATGCGTTTTTTTAAAGGACCGTTCATTCTTTTTTAAATCGATGATCTTTTAATATTGTTGGCAACAGAAAGAATCAAGTTGCATCGGGGTTAACTTCTCAACATCTTCATCCGCATAAATTACATTTCTTGCCATGTATTTTGTAGCTGGGAATTTTGGAACAATTAACACACCTGGCATTGACTATAAACATTTTTTGTCGAAGATTAAAAAGTGTACCACTTTGTTGGCATAACTGAGCTGTGCTTTTATAGGACTCAATTTACCTCTGAAAGACACTAATTACAACGGGAAGTATACCGTAATTGCTCATTTTTTCTCTTTAATAACGCCAATTTCGACTTCAAATCGTGTTTGAACTGAATACTAAGATTTATAAAAACTACTGCTCCTTTTCAAATTTTTACTCATTAAGCAATTTTCAAAAGTGTTATTGGACATCGATAACTATTTGATCTGTTAACTTAAAGAAATAAACGGATTTACTTGCCATCATTAAGTCACATTGTTTGAATTTGTTCCATTTTGTGTCAGTTTTGACTCGAACTTTATTCTTTTATCAGTGCGTGTACCGTTGCTGTATATGATGTTGTTTCCACAGTTACAAACAGGTCAAAAAGTGGATCCACTTTGGAAGCTTATTCTCCTGTGAATATGTTTATCTTGGGATGGACGGATATCTTTTGATGTCTTTAATTACCTGTTGAGTGTGCATGGTAAACTCATACGCCCATCATTGCTCCTCATTGGCGTTTTCTCAAACTAAGCAGATACATTTTTCATAAAGGACAGTCACCCCATTATTGCCAGCCATGGACGATATTATGTGCCATTTTTGTGAGGAAGGGAAGTGAATTAGTCGTGCGTCCGAGTCCCACTTGAGCAAGCTCGTGAATTTCCCCACATCCTACTGCAAAGCTCTACACAGAAACCTTTAGAGGGGAGACAAAAACACCATCTGAAGTGACGGGAGCTTTGTGGCTTATTCAATGTAAACTATTTAAGCTGCCGTCATTGACATTAATTATGTATTGACTCCGATAATAAATACAAGATATGAAAAATGACCTGTCTACTCTTGCCAGTTGTCGGCTGGGTTTCGAATGAAACAAAACGAATTTTGCTCTATGAATTATTTACTTCCAGCGTCTACCTCTTAATGTCACCTGTTCAGGTAGTGACTGCCTCCTGCCAGTTCACAAAGTAAATTGATCTACGCTTTTTTAAACTGTAAAGATAGTGCAGAGCCATTGAACACTTTTTATTGAGTATAAAGCAGCCCTTGATAGTTTCAATGCTGTTGTCGCTTTTGGACGCTAATGTTGAATCAATCGAGTATTCATTTGGCTCCAAACATGATTAAAACCTGATAGCAAGGTTGTTTTGATACACTTGTAAAAGAGCTGGCCTTCATCAGGGGAGTTCGCGGAAATAGGCAAAATGGAGGAGGGCATTGTCTGCAGCAAAGTGAGGAATCTTTGCTTCGTTTCCTTCCTGAGTTGTAGACACTCTCCTTGCCAAGCCACTTCGCCCATTACAAATGGCTCAGGCGGTGGGCACGGACGTATATAAAAAAAACCTGGACTTGCAACGCCTTTGTATGAAAAAGAAGCCAACCAGCGGCCATTTTACCGAGCCGAATACAAAGGCGTGGGTTGGCTCCCTACTGTTGACGTCAGGAAGAACAAAGGCGGGCATTACTAGGAAAGCTTTGTATTGGGCTCGGTAAAA